CTCTTGCTACAGTATATCGCTATATATTAAGCAAAGTTCATGCTTTATTAAATATCCCTAGTTTTTACCTGATGTCCTTTTTCTGCTCTTCTTGGAACCCATCCAGGATACCATGTTACATCTAGACATCCTGTCTCTTCTCGGGCTCCTCTTGGCTCTGATGAGACAACATGCCACCTTGTTTATGATATTTTTTGACAGTTTCCAAGGGCACAGGGCAGGTTTTTAACAGAAACCCCTCAATTTTGTAATTTACTCATGATTAAGATTATGGTGTTTGGGGGAAGGAAGAACACAGTACTTTTAGCCCTATCACAGCTATGCTGGTGACAGTGCTGATGGCAATCACTTGACTGAGGGCATGTTTGTTAGAAACATCCACTGTAAAGTTACCCTTTATTCCTCTGTTCCCATATGATCCCTTTTGGAAGGAAGTTGCCACTGCAGGAAGTATCCTCCCCCTCGTTCATGGGACTTCTCTGCTGCTTGCATTTGGAGAAGGAAGAGGCCAGGAGCAGGAAGCTTTCAGAGGTTGGAGAAAAGGGGGTGGTGGGCACTATTCATATGAGGAGGGAAGGGATGACTAAGGGATGTGAGAGTAGACAGAATTTAGTAGAAGATGAAAGGGAGGGTGGATCAAGGTTGACAATAAGGTTCTAAGCGTCGGTGATTAGGAGATTGTTTAGGTGTAAAGAGCACTGTATTAGTTTACTGCCAACTCTGTTTCTTGGCTGTGCCACCTTGGGTGAATCATTCTGTTCCTCCGAGTCTCGATTTGCCCATTGGTAGCCTGGGGTTGGCAGTCCCTGTTCTTCCTGCCTCATAGAGCACTTGCAAGAGTGAATGCTGATGCAGGTATTAGGACTTTGATGTCCAATAACAGGGTGTAGTTTCAAAGGTTAGTTAGAAGTGACAATACTGAGAGAGAGAAGGGCACTTGGGAAGAGAATGTGTTACCTGGGAGATTGTGACTCTTTCAAGCAACATGGAGCAAGTTAAACTCATACTGAGTGCTCTGTTGTCAGTTTGTAAGTTTGACCATCTTCTGCCCCAGAGATGTCTATTTTAAATATGGCTTCTCGGATGTTCTGTTTGTGGTGATGGAGTTGCATGGTCTGGTCACCAGATCAAGTTGCTTGGACAATATAGAAAAGTTCCAGATTAGAAGGATGAGCTTTGTGATCTTTCTCTTGTAGTCTGTAAGGGCCTCTGCTTGGGGGCACTGAAGGTTGTGGAGACTTTCTTAATAGGTTGGATCTCCTTGTCTCCCCATCTGAGATAGCTATTAGACATTTCAAAAGTAATGCATCCAGAATGAAATGTTTACTTTCTGGCCTGCCCTGGAACTTCCAGGATATGTCAAACCTACCTTGCTTGACATTGAAAAACAGTGTGAAACTCTCGCTCACCTTGTGATAAGCTGCTTGTCTGATTACCAGAGTCCCTTCACCCTCGCTCTTCTGCTGTAAAGAAGTCCATTCATCTTTTCAGGCTTTTCATCTGTATTCTTGCATTGTTCAGAACGCATACAGCTTCTGGGTTTTCATTGTTCTGTTCTTATTTTAGCAACAAACTGATGAGCCATGAGTATTTTACCTTTTGGCCCAAGTGCCAGGGTAAATCTTTGACTGCTTTGTACAGGGAAAAGAGTTGGGAGGCTTGAGAGCTCATTGTACTTCTGCCCATAACTTGCTGATAACTTTGGGCAAGGAATGCAAGTTCATTGGCTCTGCATTTCCCTATCAGTTCTCTAGGTAGGCACCTCCAGGTTCTGAAAGAGGGAGCCTTGGAGTAAATGTTGGCAACAGACCCAGCTAGCAAATAAAAGGCGTGTAGAGTAAATGTCACTTCTATATGATAAGTGATGCAGTGAACCTCAAAAATGTAGAATTGAGACAACAAAATACAGTTGGTAATAAAACAGACTGCCAAAGGCAGTTAGCTGAAATGAGGTTCTTTATTCATCTTTCAAATGGAGAGACATTCTTTTATTTACACTGATCAGCTGGGGTGAAATAAACAGTCTTTTTTCATCTTTGGTTTTGTCCTACTACAATTATAAAAGCTCACTTCTTCACAAGCAGATTGTTCTGATATGCATCTGCCCAGGCTGATAAATGATGGAAAGGCAAAAGAACATGATAGAGCTTCTGCTCATCTCTAGGCATGGACAACTTTAGAGTTTGATATATATATATATATTTCCAAAAGGAAATGCTTGCAAAATACAGATGCTGACCCCACGCCTCACCTTCATGGCTGGTGCCAGCGCTGACACTGGCACCTTTGTTCAGACAAAGGGGAAAGCCAAGAAGTGAAATGATACTTTGCTTCCCTCATCATTACTCAGCACAACTTGCTTACTTAGCTATAAAAAATTCAAGTGTCCAGAGAAACTGCAGTGCACCCTTTTATCCAAAGATGCCTTTTCCCTTATAGACAAGAGACCCAGTGTGCTTTAGGTACTGCAGAAAAGAATGGGCCTGTGGGCCACTTCCTCTCCCCTACTCTAACTTGGTAACTTGCTGATCTATCCATGGTGTCTGAATTCTTAAGGGAATTGGTCCTTAAACTGTAGTTACATAAAATCACTGGAGGAGAAGACTAAATCCAGAGATCCCCTACTCCCACTTCCAATTTATTGGGTTGAGGAATTTGCATTTTTTTTAAAGATTTATTTATTCATTTAGAACTGGGGTACAGGCCAGAGGTGCAGGGGCGGTGAGGTGATTCACCAGAGACAGAGTGGGGAGCAGAATAGACTGTACACTGCTGAGGGGAAGAGCAGGAGAGTCAGGAGAGGTCTGCTGTGCCATGTGGTCACCTCCAGGGTTGGAATCGAATTCATGTTGAAGTGACTTTAGCTTCTTAGTGCTGAGCTTTAACCCTCTGTGCCACCAGGGAGGGCTGGAATCTGCATTTTTAAGACATGGCCTAGGAAGTCTGATCTGGGGGTCAGCAGAGCTACCTTGAGGATGACCCCCAGCATCAGCCAGCAATACTTCATGGCATCCAGTTCCCTTGACTGGCCAAGTCCTAACTGCTCTTGCACTTGGCCACATAGGGGCCTGCCTTCTAACCATTTTCTGACTTAGACAGACAGCATGAGTGGAGCAGGAGCCGCACGGTCAGAACATCCTGGCTGTAGATCTTCGCGATTCCATGCTTGTGACTTGGGCAGGCTGCTCAGCCACTTCTAGGACTTCCTCATCCGTCAGATGGCAACAATATGAACCACCCCACCCAGAGAGAGAGGTGGCTAGGATGGATTCAAATGACTTTAGTGTCAGTACCCAGCCCTGTGCTTGACGTTTAGTAGATACTTAATAAATACTACTTCTTCCCTTCCTACAGGCAGTAGGAACTAGCTAGGAAAAAAAAAAAAAAAAAAAAGAAACATTTTCTATTAGTATGTGAAACTGATATTAAGGGAGTCTTTATTAATGCCCAGGTGAACCAACTTTGGCCTGTTACCCTCACTTTAAGTCAGCATTTAATTATTTAGTGGTGGTTTCAAGATCTTGAAAGAATGCACCCTCTCAATTTCTGTAGAAAATACTGACTGCAGATTTCCAAGACAGCAGGTAGGTGAGGAAGAGCAGGTGTGCCATGTGCTATGCCCATGGCCTGCTCTCCATGGTCCAGCATGGGGAATTCGGCTCAGGTACTAACCCAAACCTCCACCTGCTCCTCTTGTGAAGCTCACAAGAAGAACCTTGTTTCTCAGAATCTAGCTAGTAATGGATTCTTTGGACTGTCTTGTTCAGACTCCTTCCAGGTGAAAATGAGAACTTGCCAGTGGCCCGCAGGAAACAATGGGCTCTTAGTCTTGTGTATACTGAGCTCCGTGTGCAGCTGCTCTGTGAGCTGAGTTTCAGCACTCTCTGCCCACATCACTCCCCTGTCCAATCCATGTCACCGCTGGAGGAAAAAAAGTCATCTTTGTTCTTTGCGATTAATTTTAGGGTCACTGTTCTTATCCCATCTGATGCTCACACAGGTCCTTATGTATTAGGTTTTTATGTATCACTTGGTTCCTCCTGCTGAGGACCCAAATCAGAAAAGGAATTTAAAAGCTGAGGGTGCCAGCCTGCCGCCTTTGGCTGGGAGACTGCAAGTTCGAGGAAGGCCCTGGAACCTTCCTTCTGGAACCACGTAAGGGCGAGGCTGTAAATCCATGTCTGGGGGCAGGGCACTCAAGATAACTTGTATGCTCTGAACAGAATTACCCCTGTAAGCCCCCATCCTCTGATTTTAGAGCCTAAAAATACCTCAGAAATCCTCTGCTTCACTCCCCTTTGTTTTATAGAGGGGGAACCAGGTTGTGGGGGGGGGGCTCCCAGAGTTCCTAGTTTCTGTGGTAAAGTTGACTGAGCAGTATGTGTCAGGAACTGTCTACACTGCTAGGGAACTGTCACCTGCCTCTAACAGGTTGAGTTGCTGGATTCAGATCAGGAATGATGCTCAGCAAGGAAGCAGCCAGCACCTATTAACTGTAACTATGTCACTGACACTGGGCATCTTTGGCAGGTGAGCTTCCTGAGACGCTGGGGGGAGAAAGAGGCAGTACAATGGGGAAGAAAATGTGTGAACTTTAAGAAATTCTCCCCATCCTCAAGGAACTCAGTGTGCAGTGAACTCCTTGCTGTGAGGTCCTTTCTCAATCGAGATGAAGACATTACACATTCAGTGCAGATGACTGAACCAAGCAAGTGACATGTTCCATGAGCTACATGTGTACTCCTAAAGAAGTTGGGGAGGCAGCTTGAGGACTGCTGTCCCCCAGAGGGACAGCCTGTGTCTTCCCCACTGGTCTGTGAAAGCCCCCTCTTTGTTACTTAGCTGTGTTTCCCCAGGATGATGGCCCAAGGGAGGGCTCTATTTGTTGAACCAGCACGTGGCTCGTTGGCTCCCACAGTGATGGAGCTGTGTGCGTGTGGCCCGGGACCCCCGGGAGAATGTTCTCTGCTCACGTGGATCTTCTGCTGTTTTTCTTTCAGTGGCTCACCCCCAGGACCCTCACCACCCTTCTGAGAAGCCCGCCATTCACTGCCACAAATGTGGGGAGCCTTGCAAGGGTGAAGTGCTCCGGGTGCAGACCAAACATTTCCACATCAAATGCTTCACCTGCAAAGGTAAAGTGGGCCCGTGGCCTGGTTCAGAGGCAGGACACAGTGAGTGTCTTGGGCCTGCCCCTCCCCCAGGACTCCACACCAGCTCGTCGAAGGATGATGAGCTCAGCCCTGGAATTACTTAGCCTCTCTACTTTGGGATCAAACTAAACTCGAGGGAGACTGAGTCTCCCTATGTGCCCTGGACCAGGGGTGCCCAGGCTTTTGGGTGTTCACTAAGGTTCCTGTTCCCAGAAGGGGACTCAGTGCAGAAGTGAGAGTAGTGAAAATGCACCTTTGAGCTCCGTGCCTTGTATTTTGCCTCTGAAACAACTCCAACCACAAAGCAACCTTGTTCCAATGGTTGTTAGTTAAAGGAGGGCTGGAAATCTTGTGAGATTGGGGTGCCAAGTCACTGGACTCTGGGGGTACGTGATATCATGATATGATTTTGTGTGTGTGCGGTAAGAAGAATTAAGCAAAAATGTTAGGCAGTCTCCTGGTGGAACAATACACTCCTTCCAACCAGTTAGCAATTTAAGGTTGATTTCTATTAACCGCACCCCACCCCCTTGGCGTTTACAAGTGCTGTGTCTGGGTATGAAACCTGCTGTCCTGCTTTTCTGGAGCCAGGTCATGGCTGAGAGGAGAATAGAGGAGGAAGAGGATGGCTTTTGTAAGTCTGAGAAATAGGATCCTGGGGCTGAACTTGTCCAGGTAGCTCAGATTGGGGTTGACAATTGTAGGAAGAGAGATAAGAGGAACAAGACCATGAATCTGCTTGTTACCTTCACTCTGCTATTTTTGGGTCACCAGTCTCATCCCTAGAAAACATTTCATTTTGAGTGTCTTAGATTACAGAGGCCCAACGATGCCATCTTAAGTCATTTATCCTCGACATAGACAGAGACTCCAGGCAGCCCATAGTCCCCAATATACATGGTGAAAGGAGGCATGTGGGGTCCACAGCTGCTTCTTTGATTGTGATTTTTTTAGAAGAAAGAATGGTGAACTGTAAGGAAGGGTGGGGAGATCAAGGGCCTGAGCCCTGCAGAGGTTACCAGAGGTTGCTGTACAATCTCAGGGACGGCCTTTAATCCTCCTGAAAACTGTCAGTAAGTATGCTAAATCCCCAATTTCGAGACAACGCAAGCTGGTCATCAGAAAACATCAGGGTCACACCCAGGTTACACTCGGGTTCAGGTCCCGCCATGGCCTCCAAGCAGCTCTGTGATCCCAGGTGAGTTGTTGTCACTTTAAGGCTCTGTGTCCTGATAGGTAAAATAAAGAGACTAGACCATATGATCTTTAAACCACCCAGGTCTGACTTTGCCAAACCATGGACACACAGCTCTGTGAGCATGTCCTAGAGGCCCAGAGACTCTTGGGTAGTTTGCCGGAGAGCAAAATACTTTCTGGTTATGTGGAGACAGGCATTGTAATTGGCTTTAGTTTTTGCTCTTACATTTCCTGAGAAATGACAGAGGGGAAGATTCAGTATGAAATAAAATCGTCCGAAATCACTGCAGCCTCATTTGGGCTGTATTTCTAGCTGAAAGTACCACGTGTGAGTCTCAGGGCTGCCTATTTGGTATCCAGCACCTCAAAGGCTTGCAAGGCCACTTTGAGACCGCCACAGGGTGGGGCCTCCTGGCTTTTGTTCTCTTCTAGTTTAAATCCAAGGATGGAATGTAAGTTATTTATTTGGAAAGAAGCTGTACCATATCTTCAGTATAGGCTATAAATGTGCTCCTCAAAAGTTAAATATTGTACTCATTGAATCATAATCTGAGAACACTTGCAGCTTGTAGCAATTACTTTTAATTTAGCCAGACTCTACTAAAGCAAATGTCATCTATTTTGGTAGGAAGGAATAAGAAGGGCCATTTAGTCAAACTTTTTGTTTTTAATGAGCCTTTCCCAGACACTCTTGTATAACAGGTTTCCACTACACTCATATCACGTTGTCCCTGATTTTTTTTTTTTTT